GTCACAGATCGGCCAGACTCAGTCACCTTCCAATCATCACAACGATCCCTCTCACCTGAGCTTTGAGCACCTGTCACCAATCAAGCACCTCATTACCAGCCTGTATAAAAGCACACACCTCAGACACCCTCACTGTCCGGTCTCGTATACACGTAGAGGACTCAATGACTTTGCTACTACTTCCATTTGAATACTTCCTGCATTACTTACCTCCTGTGTTCCTCCTAGTGTCTCCTCATCTCCTGTTCCTCCTAGTTCCCGGATCGCTGAGGTGTGTGCTCCTCCTGCCTGCATTCCAGCTCCTGTACAGCCAAAGGCCCGGATTACCCCGATCACCATATCCTTCGAACTATTCCCTTACCATCACATCCTCTGAACCCTACCCCAGTACTCTCTGTGACCCAATAAACCAACTTGCTTTATATTAACCTGTTGCGTCAGACCTCTTCCGTTACACTCTATTTCATTGGGTGTTTACTGAGGACTCTTTTACACCTGCTATCTCTCTTAAGACCACAAGTAAACTATCCAATGCACTAAATACAGGTGCAAAAACAAAAGGTCCAGAACATTTTGTGATCACAAACTATAGTACATTTTGAGGTAGTCGGAAACGCACATGATCACATTAGAGTGTAAATACTGATGTTCTGACGTCTCCCGGATAATATCAAAGAACTGCCTAGTAACCTAAAACAGAGTTTTACTCTTACTTTATAGACCTTACAGGTCCTTACCTTACCTTCACACTGTGGAAATACAAACGGAATGCAGAAGACAACAAACACAGCACTAAAAAATGGCAGAGCTACATAAAGTGAAGTTCAGTTAATACAGCTGCTAATATAGCTAAAATATAACTAAAATAACAATGAGAATTCTGCTTGAAACTAAAGTATATATATTAAGCGATAGTCTGCCAAATTGTTGATGTATGTATTTATATATTTAGCTTTTTTGAAGTAATGTACATTGTCATTCAAAAGTTTGGGGTCAGTAAATTTATACAATTTTATTTTGTAAGGATACTGGTTAAAAGTGAAAGTAGACATTTATAATATTACAGATGTTTCTATTTGAAATAAATGTTGTTCTTTTAAACTTTCTATTTATCAAGAATCCTGAAAAAAAGTCCCCAAAAAATCTCAGTTTCCACAAAAATATTAAGCAGAACTACCATTTTCAACACTGATAATAATTAGACATATGTATTGAGCAGAAAATCAGCATATTAGAATGATTTCAAGGAAATCGTTTTTAAAAGAAATTTTACATTTTAAACTTTCAAAACATTAAAACATCTCAGCAACCCCAAACTTTTTGAACAGTAGTGTTTAAAAAAACAGGATACAGTACAGTATGAGACCCTCCCGTCAAAATACAATCACAAGTGGTTACAGGAGACGCATTTCCCATCAATAACATTCATCAATATCAGGTGTAAACAGGCGTAAGAAACTACAGATGCATAGAAAATATCAATAATTTTCAGAAACTGAATAACTGAAGAGATGCTAATCGTTTGTTTTGTGGGTATCATTGCTAATGATGTGAGAATAAGCACTAGTTTGCAGATGGTTGTACCGATGGATGTCCCTCCTGCAGTCAGTGGCCTTTATGGCTACACTCTCTGTCTGCAATAATGCCGCTTTAATGGCTTGTGGATCAATAGATGCTCTCACCACCCATAAAGCCCAGCCCATACGTGCAAATATATGTGGAACAATATGGTATACAGCTACATAATATAACATCTATATAATTAGAAACACAGGATGATTTCAGAAAAAAAATATGATTGATGTTTGTCTATGCAAACACTGCCACAGTGCTTAGAAGTGCTTAGGGTTTTAGGGTTTGGGGGGTGTTGCTTGTCTGAACTTGAATGAACGCATAAAACTGTTTCCTCTAAAAAACGATATTTGTATTCTCACAGTTACACATGCGGCAGCAAAGGTCTTAAAAATCGCAAGTCGAAAGCTCATATATCATCTTAAATGCCAAAAAAGGTTAAAAATGTCAACAATTAAAAAAAATCAGCTCCTCTGTGACTCGGTCTGGAGAAAAGCTGTGGGATAATGGCTTCACTGAGCTGGAACTGATGCCAGTGCCGCCACTCTGAAACTGCTTGTATCAATCACAGGAACGCTTAACCTGGGGCAAAGAGCTCAAATTCTTTTCTTTTACCTCATTTCCTAGATCAGGTTTGGGTCTAGAGAAGCTGAAGGAAGCCTTTCGCCCAGAACGGCTGCTGCTAACCGTAAAACATCTTGGGAGATCCATAAAGGTTTGAGCGGCATCTCGTGGGAATGATTACGTTTAACGATCGCTGTGGCGAATAACAGTGGAGGAATATGATGCCATTCACAGGCCCAGCATCACCCAATACTGACGTTTTCAACATTTACATACTAATGATGTCAGTTGTTTTTAGAAAGACTGTAGTGATGCATCGAAATTTCGGAAACTGGAAATATTTGGTCGGAATAGTTTTGTAGGGCCGAAACCATTGACCGAAACTGTGATGTTTAATTAGCATTTCTCCAAAGACGCGTTTTGACTGTGTCAGCGTTTATTTCGTGCACACAACGTGGATAAACGATATTGATTGATTTCTCATTTTTAATCTCTTAAATCTCAAGATCAATTTTTTAGTGCTGTTTTCAGTTGATGCATAAACAAAACTTAAAGGGGTCATAGGATGCCCATTTCCAAACGTTGATATGATTCTTTAGGGTCTTAATGAAAAGTCTGTAACATAGTTTGGTAAAAAATTCTCAATGGTAGTGTAAAAAACACATTTTTTACCTTGTCAAAGACAGCTCTTTTCAGAGCAAGCAGTTTTGTAGCATTTTCCTTTAAATGTTAATGAGCTCTGCTGACTCCGCCCCTCTCTTCCGAGCTGCTCTCAGAGAGACTGTTTACTTTAGCTGCATTCATCGTGAAACTTGTTAATTAGAATATTATTAGGAAAGGCGACTTGCAAAGATTCGTTAAAAAAACCTTACACTCACTTCTTCTGTAGGTGAAGCTGGATCACGAATGATTTGCGCGAACATAGACGCATTTATGTAGATCGGGGGCGTATTCCCTTGAAAAACAAACGCGATCCACTGTCTCTTTAGCGGCTCAGATGTCGGGAGTAAATGACGACATGTTCATTATTACATCCAACAACAGAACACCTCAATCACTTGTTAGGAGTCATTCTTGTCTACATCTGCTCCGGCGGTGAAACAATGGCGGACTGATGACAGCTCACTCAGGGTGGGTCTAAGGTAAGACACCAGTCCAGTCTGTGCTGAAACGCTACTGTCAATCAAACAATCGAGGGAGGGGCCTGTTTTTGTGACGTCACACAGACAGGCATCTGAGATCGGCTCGATTTGAGAAAGGGGTAAAGACATGAGCAGATAAAAAAAAAACACTGGGTGGATTTTTATCATTTTAAGGTGGTTGTGTACACACACTGCCTACACACATTTCTGTTCAAACAACTTGTAAAAGTGCATGTAGCATCGGATGACCCCTTTAATGAAACATTTGTGGCACATTTGTAACAAACTCTCAGCTTTTAAATCCTGTTAACAAAAAATTAGGGATAGCCCAAAAATGAAAAGTCACTGTTTATTTTCTTACCACTCAGGCCATCTAAGATGTAGACGACTTTTTTTCTTCAGTAGAGCAGTAAAGAAGGTTTTTTTAGCTGAAACAGTCAATGGCTACCGTCACTTTAAGAGTCAAAAAGAGCAACACAAGCAACACAGAATTAATACCCGTGTATATCGCCGGCTCATCAGTCTTTAGTTCAAGTCCAAACTGTTTCCTCAATTCAGTGGCAGCTGGAGGAACTGCAGCGCTGAATGAGTTGGCAAAACCAGCATCATGGCATCATATATGCCGGTATTTTGGCTCATTTCAAGTCGGAGTGACTGTCAGGCATGTCCAAAAGTGAGTTTTGATTGAGTAAATTGTAACTTGAGTTGTGAACAGTTTCAAACGGTTCAGTCCAAAAAGAACTGTTTCAAAAGAATGATATGTTCATGAACATCACTCCGGACCGTTTGCCTGAGGATCTGGATAACAGGTTGTAAATGATGCTCAGTTTCTTGCACAGACTGATCTTTTCACTTCATAAAACCTAAATATATCATCAGGAGCTACAGATATTAATTTTGTGTTGCCTGATATGCTTTTTTGACTCTCAAAAGTGACGGTAGCTGTTGACTTGCATTTTATTAATCAAGGACCACGATTTCAGCTAATAATTTTCTTTACTGTTCTACTGAAGAAAAAAAGTCTCCTACATCTTGGATTGCCTGAGGGAACAGCAAATGTGTCGTAGCGCCTTATTAACATAATAACATAAAATAAATGACAAAAAAGAAAACAAATGACATAAAAGCTGCAATTTAAATATGTGTACAAATGTTTATTGATTATTAAAGCTGCAGTCCGTAAGTTTTGCCTCTTTGTCGCCATCTCTGTTTGAAAACCTGCAACTGCAGCTATTTGTGGAATTATCTTCCTTGCGTGGGTTGTGCACCGGCACGGCTCCAATCTGAATCTAATGTGTGGCTGTCAGTCACCGCACCGGTGTGGACACTACACTTTGTATTCACTGATTCTACATCTTGAAAGTATGACCTAAATAAGAGTTTTCACTGGCGAATGTCATCTGAACAAGTAAGTAACAACTGCCATGCTCGAATTTCCCACGAAAACATACCCGTACCACAATTAGAAAACTTTATTACAAGCTAACCGTTGTGAATCGAGCTAAAGTAAGGCGATAGTTTTGAACATTGGCTGGTTATGTAGTCCGTAACTTTTTTGACTGCAGCTTTAAATATATTTAATTAATTTATTTATTATTAAATACAATTTAATTGTCCATTCAATTAAGTGAATACTGAATTTCCGGTTTTCCGGTCAAGAATTTTCATTTGGTGCATCACTAAGTATTCCCACCTTCCTATATAAGGTCAAAAAACACTCACCTGCGTGTTCCTCTTGCTGATTTGCTGGGTGATGTGCGCCCGTCCCGTACTGGGGTCCACGCCCGTCAATGGCACCACCGCCTCCCCGATGACATCGTCCCGTGCAAAGCGATCAAAGCTGAGCACCAGGAAGTGCAGCGAGAGCTCGGGCAGCGAGCTGTATGGGATGCCGTAGAAGGTAAACATCTCATCGAACATGGGTTCCAGAGTCTTCCTCAGGACGCGCGTCTTCACCCGGTGTTTCTTTTCAGGCAGGATGGTCATCTTCACGTAGGGGTCAGAGCTGCCCGCCTGTTCATCCACCGCGGGGAGCCCCTGCGCTCCTACGATGGTCACAACGAGGGCCTTCTTGGGGAAGTTGTAGTCGATGGCCAAACTAAGCGTTCCCAGAGAGGGGGAGTCGAGACTGTGGGGCGACGCCGTCTTACTGGGTGCTTCGCTGCTGCTTCCTGAGCGGCTCTCCATACAGCAGTAGTCAGCCCGGATGGGCAGCGCCCTCTCCAGTCTGGGAGGTCCCACAGGTGGTACCAGGTGGCTCATCTGTAGGTGCGGGGTACCACCTTCCGGATCTGCATCCACAAGGAGTACATTGCCGTTTGGGGATCCACGACCCCATTCTCTAAACAGGGAGCCTGATCCTGAGCGCTGGCCCACACGTACGATCTTCTTGCTGTTGCTGAGGGTCTCGGGGTAGATGCTGATGCCTTTGAGCATGTGGATGAACTTGTAGGGAGGGTCAACGGGTGGGTCGTAGGGACCGCTGGTCAGCTTGTACGCACCTGTCATTTGACGATATCGCCGCTGACAGCACGTCCACAGAAAAACGGCCACCGTCACGGAAACAACCAAGACCCCTGCACCCAGAAAACCCGCAAGTACTGGGGACACATCTGAAAGAGACAGACACAGAGCATTAGATCACCTCCTGTGGAAGAAGTACACTTTAGCAATCAGCATTTATGTTGACAAGTATTTATTGCAAACTAAAACATACATTAATGTCATTTATACTGAAACTTGAATGTCATGTATATACAGGGATGCACATAAGTAGTGCGCATGTTCGCATGTGTGACCAAATTGAAAAATGCGCTGGGTAAATAAGTTCAGACCACTCATTTGCGTACCGACATGGTTGACAGCAGTTAATGCACAATCACCGTTTTAGATCAACCAACTGTAGTACTGTATAAGTATTTCAGTTTCAGAGCAAAATGCAAAACTGAGACATTTTGTTCACTGATGCTCTTCACTCAGCAGCGCTAAAACCAACAGCATATACTTACTTGCCAAAATGAAAGCTTTCTGATTTTAGGTTTGAGAATGTTAAAAGTTCATATATAAAAAAAAATGTAAATATTTGCAATTTTAAGTGTACTATAAAATAATTGTATTTTTACTTGATAATTACTTTTTATTTTAAAATATAGTAGCATTAAAACACTTTATTTATTATTTTATAAAAAAACACCAAATAAATAAAGTGCAATAATACTACTATTACTGTTATTATTAATAATTATTAAATTGTTATAGTTATATTTAATATATTATTATATATGACATATGAGTAATATATTTGTAATTACACATTTGAGGTGATGAAATTGCAATTTAGTATTTTTAAAAATTATTAATTTTAAATATAATATATAAATATAATATTGAATAAAAAACAGTTAATACTATAATCAAGCACTTTACACATGTTTTAGTATGTTAGTCAACACATCAAAATAAGTGTGCTCTAAAGAATGACAAACGATTATTAAAACTATTTTGGCAATATTACAAAGTGCAATTTTTAAAGGTCTACTTAAGTGCATTAAGAAACAATAATGAACACATAAGTGGTCTTTTATTTCATTAATATTATGTTATCTGCAAGTACAGTTTTATAAAAATATGATTCAATACAATTAAGTATCCTTATTTTTCACAAGGGACATCATGATCATAAATTTAAAGAGTCTCAGATTCACAAAGGCACAATTTAATCACACTTAAGTAAGATTCACAAATGCAATATCAAATTAGAGACTCGTGAAATGTTTTGGTCTAAAAGTTTTTTTTTTTACGTGACACGTGACACTGTTCAGAACAAAAAGTCTCTCGACACTCTTTGTCATGATCATTCGATGTCGTATTCCTTAGCATGGAGGACCAGACAAAAACAGCACACAATAAGCACACTTCTTCACACTTCTATTTTTAAAAAAAAATCCTTCCATTTTACCACATAAAGCGTCATCTGATGCTAAAGGTTTAAATATAGGCAAGTTCTTTGTCTGCTTCAGTTGCTGGTGACGGATGTTGTTGGTTGAGGTTGGATGATCAGTATTGAAAGCCGCATCATATGATGGCATCCAGCAAAGCTTCATCACAGAGCTTGCTGCAGCTTTCGCCAGCTACTCTCTTCAACTTACAAAGCCAAGAGAAAGCTACAAGGACATTGGCGTTTGTTCAAAGGTAAATATTGTTTGAAAATTTTTTTTTCCCCCTCTTCACAGCTTTGTTCAGAAATCGTCATTCTCTCTTTTTACCTCCCACCACACCTCTCTCTTTCTTTGTGTCTCTCAAACACAGGAGGACGCCAATTTTATCTTTATTTGCCACACCTAACATTCTATATTTCTCTATTATTATTACATTTTAGGCACTTCATTGGTGTGAACCACGAGAGAGAAACAAATGCCAGCCAAGTGACGGTGGTGTCGAAGAAGACAGGGCAAGGTTTTACAAAAACCTTATGAACTTTGAGTTAATCAAATGTCCGTGGTAACGTTATATGTGATCATCCGTTGAATTTTTATTTTTATTTTTTTGTAAAATCTATGTGATAGACTGGGCTTTATTTTACCATTTGTTGTGGGGTTTAACGTGCGCTAAAGTTATGTTAACAGTTATAAATATACGGTAATCATTTTATTATTCAGTCAGAGAGAACCTTAATGTCTGTGTTGGTCTAGTAAGATTATTTTGGTGTTACGGTGTGTGGGCTGATACCCATATTTCATACTGTTTCTGAACATTAACTATAATTGTTGTCTGCTTCAGTTGCTGGTGACGGATGTTGTTGGTTGAGGTTGGATGATCAGTATTGAAAGCCACATCATATGATGGCATCCAGCAAAGCTTCATCACAGAGCTTGCTGCAGCTTTCGCCAGCTACTCTCTTCAACTTACAAAGCCAAGAGAAAGCTACAAGGACATTGGTGTTTGTTCAAAGGTAAATATTGTTTGAAATTTTTTTTTTTCCCCTCTTCACAGCTTTGTTCAGAAATCGTCATTCTCTCTTTTTACCTCCCACCACACCTCTCTCTTTCTTTGTGTCTCTCAAACACAGGAGGACGCCAATTTTATCTTTATTTGCCACACCTAACATTCTATATTTCTCTATTATTATTACATTTTAGGCACTTCATTGGTGTGAACCACGAGAGAGAAACAAATGCCAGCCAAGTGACGGTGGTGTCGAAGAAGACAGGGCAAGGTTTTACAAAAACCTTATGAACTTTGAGTTGGACAGTATTTAGTAAGCTGAAGTCACATGTTCTGCAACTACAAGTTCATGTCAAGTCATAGCATTTTGTTCTGTTCTGTTCTGTTCTGTTCTTGGTGGTGAAGTGGAAGCAGTGTCATTAATAATTCTTTAATAAAAGCCTAATGTTTTAAAGCCATCTCGTGTCTGAGCAATTTGTGTTCAAGTAATTTTAAGTTGTATTTAATTTTAGAATGCAATGTAATAACTTTAAATCATTAGCTTCTAGCAGTGTTACAATGTTAAGATCACATTCTACAGTACTTTAATACATTTTACAGTAATAAAGAGCTTATGAAATTACAGTTGGAATACTAAAATAACAGTGTAATGACAGTATTATACTGTAAAGCTTATATTTTTTGCAGTATGGTACTGTAATATTTTTACAGTAATAAACTGTTGTTGCAGATTACAGTAGGTACACTGTAGAATAACAGCTTTATGCTGGCAAATGTAGCTGTAGTTTACTGTAATTTAACAGTGACATTTTTTTACAGTAACCGGGAACATGTCTGCATTCAAGGTAATAAAACATCCATATACAACATACCACAGCAAACTGCTTTGTGTGACCTTGAACAAATACATAAAACTAGATCTCACAGCAAAGCACAGAAACATTTTGCAGTTTGTAGGCACCCACTAATTTCAGAACGGCAGTTTCTGCCCTTAGGCTGCAGGTTTAAGTTGCCAGAATATTGCAGAAATGGAGCAAAGCGATCATTCATACTGCAAGCCTGTTCCCAAGTTGAAGTATATTTATTTAGCAACTTAATGCCATCATTTTCATTTTTGTGTTTGCATACAGTAATGTGTTTGTACTTTTAATGTGTATTTTGGACATGCAATTTTAGAAATTATTTGAATTTGTTACTGGTTTTCATGTTGTCTTGCCTTTTTGTCTATATGTACATCATACATTTTTATATACAAAATAGAAACTAATTTCATGCAGAATCACCTACAATCTTTGCATATTAAGAAGAAAGTATTTTAACATTAAAAAAACGACACACTTCAACTTCAAAATGTGTATTCAAAAAGCTGCTGCAGAACAAATACTAAATACTGAGCACAAGTCATTTTCTTCATAATTCATAACTGATTATAGTTTCATTTGGATTGTGACCCACATTCACAGAGAGCTGTGGGTGATAAAGAGATGGATGAGGTTTCTAGAGAAAAACATCTGGTCTCAAAGTGAATTTAACAGAACAACAAACATAGCCAGCGATGGCCTCAAACTGAGGAAAGAGACTGACACAGTTAGATGCAGAACAGAGAGAAACAGGAGAGAACAGGAAAAAAACAGCAGCTGCGCTTCAGGTCAGTTCAGACAAAGGCAAAAACATGAATATGAAAAAAAAGAGATTTATAGAGTATAATTACAGAGCGTGTTTGTGAGGGAGAAAAAGTGCACTCATATTAAAAAATGAGCTTTCTATGTATTGAAATTATCTATGGTAATGAAAAACTCTTTTCTGGGTATTGCGGGATAATTCTTGCCCTTGGCTACAGCTTGGATTCTTTCCTGTTTAATGCATGACTATTTGCTTCTTTCTTGTTCCACAGCTATTTGCTAGCTAATGGGGCAGATGCTGAGCACAGCAGTTATATTTATGATCATGGATTCTTCATTGCAGTCCATGAGAGGATCCACCAGCAACATTCACCTGACTGAAGCATTTAATATTCACACAGACCCAATCTCAACACACAGACGCCTCTTCTGTTTCATTAAAGGAGGCAAAACTGACAGTGCAAACAGAATCTGCTCATTTATATTGCTGTCATAATTGGCTCATTAAAACAAATCCCCCAAAACGTTCAAATGTCAGCAACAGACCATAACAAGCTTAACCGGAGCTGGCAGGTGCTGCTTTTGCCCCATGCTGCAGGGCATTCAATTAGGAAACATCGCACTGTGGGTTCCCTCTGCCCAAACACCTTTAATTACAGACATGGAAACACGTTAATGTCCGGAGGGCACGACACATGGCTTTAGGACAACTTGAAACATTCACAACCCATTTTACTTTAATAATGTAATGTATTTATGAGTGAAACAGGATATTCACTCTTCCCTATTCTCTTTTTGTTAAATTCATTTCACACCCTTCTTTCTTCTCCTCTCGCCAAACTCCGAACTCCAGGGCCCGGGGCCCGGGCGGTGAAGTGCTCGGGTTGCCGAGGCAACGACAGGTCCCTTTCTTTGCTCATGGCTCAGAGCTGACTGGAATTGTGAAACGGACCCGGCTTCAGTGAGCTGATGAGAACAGGATGTGCTCTCCTGCCCCGCACAACAGCCTCCTTAAGGAAACGCCAGCAAATGGGAACACAGAAACC